ATATTTATAAATATATATTATATTGTAATTATATATATTATATTATAGTATAATATAATATTGTCGTAATTTTTAACTATCCACAACAATTCAACCTCATAATTTACCAAACGCTATTATACTGATTTTGTAACCAACATAACTACTATTATTATACTTTACCAAACACTCAGATGCTTTTTATAATAGTTGCTTCTTCCTTTAGCACAGTTAAAAGCAATTTTTTTAAAATCTACAGCACTACCAAACTAAGCTGAAAGAGAAATAGATTTTAGATTATCTAATGACATGGGGTATGAAATAATCAAAACCCTCTTCCCCCTTTCTTATTTTTTTCTTTTTTTTTTAACTAAGTTAAATCTCATTGGGTGTTGTGGGTGGTGACTCCCAATCAACCAATAAAAAACTTTTATAAAATCCTACCTTCATTTCTATTTTGACCCACACATTTTTAAAATCACGCCTTACACCCATATTTTCAAAAACCTTACGCTTTCAGTTCCGTATTTTGTCAAAATTGCACATTTGGCACCGAAATGGAATTTTTATAAAAATTTTGCTCCTTGCCTAATTTTGACACTCCAATTAAGAACCCAATATTAGAAATTCCACTCAGAATTTAATTCACTAAGTTTTGCTCTAATTAATGTTTCAGGGAAAAAAAAAATTACCCTGAGACGATAATTTTGGCAAGTAACTCAAGAGTTTAGGACATCTAAATCCCTTTGATTATCATGAGAAAATCATAAAACACATAATAATCATAAAACTCAGCACAAAATTTCATAAGAATCCAAGATAGAGTTAATGAATGTTACAGCTACTTTCACTCTTCTTATTATGTAAATACCCAAAACTCCCCTTGTGTTTATAAAAGAGGATCCAAAACAACCCGAAGCAATTAAATTTTGTAAAATGCTATGATTAGCCTTTCCAACTTATATTAAATGTTATTTTAGATATGATTTAACTAAAAAATAAAAAAAATTTAAAAATGCTCAAAGAAATATTCCAATCAAAGAAATGCATCAATTAGTTTAAGAGTTTTTTCAATTTTAAGATTGATTTTGTTTAACATTTTGGTTAATAATGTTTTAAATTTTTATTGAATAAAGATTGAGGAGGATAATCTTGTTATTTAACAAAAAAAGTAATTATTTTAGGGGGTGTTTTGGGTCTATTCTTATAAACACAAGGGATGTTTTAGATATTTATATGATAAGAAGGGCAAAACATGTATTTTAACAAAACCATGAGGATATTTTAGGTATTATTTCAAAAATAAAAATAAAATGTCAACTTTTTATATGGCAATTTTAATATATTATCACTTACATGGTAATGTGATGGTGATAAATAATATGTGTATATATATATGTATTTTTTTTCCTAATGTGAGCATCTTCGGAGACGTTTGGTTCATGGATTAGAATCATGTGATTAGAATTATTTTTGATTTACGTGTATTTTTTGTTAGAGAAAATACTGTAGCGAACCATGAATCATATTCAAATCATAGTTTGAATCCTCAAACCAAACGTCCCCTCGTAAACAACACTTAGATAATAATAGAAAAAGTTGAAACTATTTGCCCAAGGTATTTTTTGTAGATAGTCTGTACTATAAAGTAAGCTATTTTGCTTCACCCATAAGCTAAAGTTTTTATCATTGGATTAATTTATCAACAATTAAATCTACAGTAGAAACAGTTATGTACTATGATGCGTTAAAATATTGTTACACAAAAGATTATTCTCACAATTTTTTTTTTTTGTAATTATCCCAGTAAAATAAATTTCTATGAATATGCCTTTACTTAAATATTTTTCTTTTTAGTGGCCTTCTCAACCACTATTTTTTCATAAATGTCATTTTTTTAATTTTTTTTTTCCTGGAAGTCATTTTTCTAATTCACGTTGCATTATTTTTCTCTTATGTATTCCTATTTAACTATTTTTTTGAGTCCTTTAAAATATTATTATATCAAAAGTGATTCTCAAATTACTTTTTTCTTACTCCTCATAAGTGTTTTTTTTTTTTTTTTTTTTTTTTGCATGTATCCCTACTTTTAAATACTTCTCTAATCTAACATCTTTCTCATGCATCCTTTTTAGTTAATTTTTCTCAAATGTGTTTGACATTTACATTATGTTTGGTAAGTGGATTCATACCATGATTTGAATCGTGGTTTATGGTTCACTATGGTATTTTCTCTCACAAAAAATATACGTAAATAAAAAATAATTCTAATCTCATTATTTTAATCCATGAACCAAACGTCTCAAGATTTCTTTTCTAAAGTACATTTTTTGAATATTTTATTGTCTAATTTTATCTCAATATTTTTTTTTAGATCTATCCTAACATTATAGTTAGATTCAACGAACACAATTCACTCGTGCATAACACATGCTTTCTAATTAGTATACTTAGAAAAGAAGTATTTACATATTAAAAAAAATAAAAAAATAAGAGATTTTTTTTAATAAACCTCCTTACTGATAATATTAATTTTTAACCATTAAATCTAATTAAAATTAATTTATATTTAAAAATATATAAAATAAATATTTTTTAATATAAATTTAACAATTAAAAAATAAAAAACTACGGACTTATTCTTTTGAGTGAAAAACTCAAAAAAATGCAACTCGAATTACAATTTTATTCGAGTTCATATTCTTTTAAGTTTAAACTCGAGTTTAGGACTAAAACTCGAGTTCAAGTTTCTCCTTCAACTCAAGTTCAGAAACTCAAACTCAAATTAATGAACAATATTTTTTCTATTCTTAAAAATGTTATAACTTTTTCGTTTTAATTCTGATTGAGATAATTTTTTTCTCTATGTGTTGACAACGAAAAGACGAATAAAATCCGACTCATATACCATATTAAAATTTTTCATCAGCATTGAGTTTTTTATTAAAATACTATCTAAATATAAATTCAAGTTTTGACTTACTCAAACACAAATTCAAAAAGATTCTTATCTCAAACCATAACTCAAATGTACACAACCAAACATAAACTCAAATTATAAGTTTAACTCAAATTATAACTTAAATTCAAGTTAAAAATTATACTCAAATTAAACTCTAAAAGAAAAAACCCTACATTCTTTAAATTTTTTAGTCGGACAAGAGAAACTCAAACAATAAACGGAGAACTGATTTGACTGTGCACTGTTATATGTAGAAGCCTCGTGAGTCGTGAGAGGTGCACAGTGATACCTAATATCTAATTATAGAAATAAAGCCGTACGGTTTACAGCGAACGCTGTAAAAAACCGAAGCCGCGGACACGTGGAGATGATGCCGCTACTTGATATTTCATATTTCCATCTCACTCTGCTGTTTTTCTATTCTATTTAATAATAAATAATATATTTCCATGCAATTTATTATTTTTCCCTTTTGTTCTTTTTCTCTTTCGCGGTAAAGTTGAAATAGAGCTGTCAATGGCGACATCCTATCCATATTTACCGGAAGTCTTGGTAAGAACTAAGAAAGACTGCACTATAGATCATGATTACATCTATAAAAAACATCAGGATCTTTAATAATTATGATTATAGATTAACAAATTTCATTAGCATGAATAACGTTGAGATTTAATTTATATCAAATTAGTTGTAAACTAAATTTTTAATTTTTAATTGAAATAAAATCTATAAAAAAATATGCTATCCGGAATATGGTAATTCACTTATCACAATATTTTTATTGATAAATTTTATGGTCATCTTTTTAGTATCATTTATTGATATTATGCCTTATATTTTTCGTTTAGAAATTAAGGAGCATGCAAACATTTGACATAAATGAGAAAAAGAGCTTTTTATGATAAGGTTGAACGTTAAATCTGATCAGAATTATATCAAAATAAAAAAAAATACAAAATTGTTAAAATTTAATAATTAAAAACACAAGCTTTTATTATTTGCTACCCTATTTGTAGAAGTCTCATAAAAAATGTAGTTTGAAAAATATTACAATATACATTGTCAAAAAATATTAGAAAAAAAGGCATTTAAAAATGACATTTTCACTATTCAGCAAAAGAAAAAAAAAGACATTTTCACTTAATTATCTTAATGACTTACTTATTTACTTTTAAAAATCAACTTTGTTTCCCTTTCAAAAAAAGAAATTACGCTTTTTTGTTTGGATAATTAAAAAAAAAGTCTTATTTTTGAAAATTACTCTTTTAGAAATAGACAAACTCAGTGAGATTGTTTAAGGCAAAGTTGACCGTGTTACTATTCTTACGCCATTTATTATTATTGCACCAACAAAAATATTATTTTATTTAAAAACTTTTCCCTTTAGAGAGTTTCTCCTTCTCGCAGAATATTTTCCATGAAAATAGAAAGTATAAAAGCCGAACACATTTCCAGTTCGTTAGAGATTTTCTCTCCACTTTTATAGAATTTTCATCTCCTTTTCTACTTAATAATATCATGTAATGTCATAGCAAACCGACTTGCTATTCTCGAATTCCTCATGTTTTCCTCTTTCTTTCTATTTTAATGCCTTTCCAAACTTATTTTAAACCAGTTCTTCAACTCTGAAGTTTCTTCTTTTGTTTCTTTTTCCTTCAAATTTGTTGAAACTCTTTTCGGTGAGATATTTTTCCGAATCTTCAGCTTCAGAGAGGAACTGGGTTTTTCTTAATTCGTCGAAATAAAGATTGTTCTTTCAGTCTCGGGAGATTCAGAATCTGGGTCCGAGGTAATATTCGCTGGATCTTTATCTTCTTCCTCTAGATTTTTTTTTTCAAAACTTTTTTGCTATTAAAAAGATTTTTCATAGTTAATAATTAAGATTTGTCTTATTTAATTTTTAAGTAAACTTGGGGTTGGATCTGGTGATATTTTTTTTTAGTTGCTTTATCTTAAAATATTCAGTGCTTAACGTTTAATAATGCCATTATGTTAATTAAACACGTGTTAGTTTACGATGGCTGAGAGCTTCGTTTTTGTTCATATGGATAAGTATGGCAAAGAGAGAATATTCCGAATATAATTTTTTTTTGGAGTTTCTTCTATTTGTTTCGCGAGAAAGTTCAAGATTTTCACGGGATTTGTCGGAATAGAACTCCTTTGGAATGTTGCCACTAGTTGGTCCAACAATTGATATTCGTTGTGTCGAATTCTCACATCTGTGATTGCAATGAGACGATTAATCATCGTACTAATATATTATAGCAAAAATTTCTTTTTTTTTTTAATAAGCTTGTTCTGAAATTCTGTGGACTATTAGAATGTGTAAAAGTACCAACTTTTGATACAAATGGTAACACAGGGGTTTACTCTTTAATGTTTTGGAAGTTTATAGTTTGTTTATTTTATTTTGTTGCATTTTTCAGGTTAAAAGTGCCTCAATTTATGAGAAATACTACAAAAAGGTTTACATTAGTGCCCACAAGCTTAGCTGGAGAGGAATACCAAAGCCATACAAAGAGATGTGGTCAGCCTGCATTCAGCTGAAATGAAGACCTTACAGGTCTTTGGGCGTAAAAAAATAAAGTCATTTTCTTTAAGTTTCTGTAATGCTTTGATTTCTCACTTGCCTTTCCTAGACCAAAAATTACCAAGTTATTAATATATGTTAATTAAGTTGGTAAATGAATCCTATAATAACTTGAGTTGGACTTGTTTATTTAAGCTGTATAATTAAATGTGTGGTTTCCTGGAAACAAAAAGGAAAAGAAAACAAAAGATTTTGGATTTATTGTTTATGTTGGTATTGGTTCTCACTAGAATGACAAGACCATATGTGGGATTTACAGAACACACAAGAGGTACCATCAGCTTCCCAAGTTTCACATGATTCCCAGGGCGACCAACCTCCAAACCTCAAAACTGAGGCACCAACAACGGATTCTGCTTCAATATCAACTCCGAGCAATGATAGTAAGAAAGTTTCGCGCCAAGATATCGAACTTGTAAGCCCGTGGATTCCATCAGTTTCTATTTCCTGTCTTTTCATGTTTTTCTTGTAACGTTGTATTCTTTTACCAATCATGTTTGAGGACGAGTTTAGCAATCTAGTTCCTTAAGTTTTGTCTTCATGATCCTCAACAACATTGCTATTGCAGGTCCAGAATTTAATAGAACGATGTCTACAATTGTACATGAATAGAGATGAAGTAGTAAAAACCCTCTTGACCCGTGCGAGGATTGAACCTGGATTTACGTCGTTGGGTAGGCATTTCGAAACATATTCACAAGTCTTTTGTGTTGACTATTATGTGCGCATGAAGTAAAAAGTTGAAAGGCTACAAATATCAGATATTGACTGTAAAGATTTTCCTTTAAGCATCGATAATCAGGCAGGTTCTGTCGTATCTTTTCATTTATATATTTATTTGTTTCTTTATTTCAGTATGGCAGAAGTTGGAAGAAGAGAATGCAGACTTTTTCAGAGCATATTATATAAGGTTAAAATTGAAAAGACAAATCCTTCTGTTCAATCACTTGCTTGAGCATCAGTATCATCTCATGAAGTATCCTATGCCTCCAAAGGTTCCTTTGGCCCCTATACAAAATGGAATTCATCCAATGCCCGGTAACTTCTCATCCTATCTGATATGGTTGTCTAAAAGCAGAAGTTAACCCTGTATAGACCAAAAGAAAAGAAAAAAAAAAGGAGCGGTTTGAAGAGGAAAAGAAGAGGAAGCATTGCAATGTTTCTAAATAAGCTAGTGTTCGTGGTCATACTACTGGATTCGTGCTATTCTGCGAATGTGTTATTGTCTACATTTATAGAAAGTTGTATCTTGCTAATTGAAAATGACAAGTTTTGTCACGTCAGTTGGCATTAAAAAATTAGTACGCCTAGAGCATTAGTCATCTGATATAGCATTCTACATTGTTATTTACCGCCACTTTTTCGCGGTGCAGTTAACAACTTACCAATGGGATACCCCGTCCTACCACAGCATCCGATGCCAGCAGCAGGTCAACTACATCTTGACTCTATGGGCATATCAAACTGTCATGTGGTTAATGGAGTCCCTGCACCTAGCAACTACCATCCTATTAGAATGAATTCTGGCAATGAGTAAGAATCATCCCGTTTTCATTCTTTTTTCCTCTCACAATGAAGATGAAGGCATCAGTAGTGTTGGACCCCACAGCTCACAATTGAGGGACCTACCCCTCTCCCCTTCCCTAATTATTTTATGTGTATTATATCAAACTTCATAAGACATGGTTGGACAATATCGCCTTGTAGGTTTCTACCTATGTTTTCTTTTTTGCTTGATAGAAATTGTGCTAATGGCAGCTGCTTTTGTTATTGACTCCATGTTCAAAGTATGGTGATGGACACCAGTGGTGCTGACGTGGCTTCCGTCATCCCACCAAGCAGTGGCATGTCTTCCATGTCGGAGATGCCTGTGAGCCCGACATCGGTGGCATCCAGCGGCCACTTCCCCTTCACTGCATCGGAAATTTCAGCAATGGGTGTAGATACATCAGCTCTTGACACGGCATTCACGTCTGACGTAGCGAGTTCGGTCGGGTTGCAGCTTGCACCTGATGGTGGGGCCGGAAACTCTCGGGATCCCCTAAGACCATTGGACCAGATTCAGTGGAATTTCAGCTTATCAGATCTTACAGCAGATTTATCAAACTTAGGAGGTAACACATACTGTTAATATCATTCATGAACTGACTCAAGTTTTAGGCCTTTTATTAATATAGTTGTTGGGAAAATTTGCCTAAAAACTTAAGCAAATAACAGAGAACGAAAAATAACGAACGAAAAATAAAACAAAATTCACACCACGAATTTTATACAGGTTCACCAATTTAGCTATGTTTATGCCGCTCAGATTCCATTAATTAGTTGAAGAAATTCTTTACAGAGAAAAATCACTCAATCTCACTTTGTATTTTTCTGACGCTCAAAAGATGTTTCCTAGGCTCACACATTAATTTTCTCTCAGAAAATTCGTCACAAATAAATCCCCTAACATTAGGTATTTATAGAATCCCAAAACAAGTGAGGAAACCCCAAAAAATAGGCCCAAAACCGACCTAGGCTGACTTGGTACGCGCCCCGGCGCCGCGGCGCCCATCCCTTGGCGTTGCGGTGCCACTTTGAATCGGCCCATGTGTGCTGCGGTGTGTGCGCTGGCTCTGCGGCGCTGCACTTCGGCACTGCGGCGCCACTTCGAATTGGGCCAGCATGCTCGCTGGTGCTGCTCCTTGGCGTTGCAGAGCGCCGCGGCGCTCTTCTTCTGGTGCCACGGCACTGGCCTGCAACACAAGGCTGCTGTGCAGCCGTCCTAGCTCCATTTTCTCCACTTTTTCTTCCGTGCATGATTAGGCTCCATCTTCAACAATAGTGTCGTGTTATTTTTGCAGATTTAGGTGCCCTGGGAAACTACTCTGGTTCACCTTTTCTGCCATCGGATTCTGAAATCTTACTAGACTCTCCAGAGCAAGATGATATAGGTAAGCTCTACTGTATATGTTGAAAAAATGTTCTTAATTTACATCTTAGTGATTTTTGATCTTCAATCATAGGTAAACATGATTTGTTTGCTATTTCCAGAAGGGCTTGTGAGTTTGTGATGTTCATATATGAATAATAAGAATAATATCCCATCATTAATTTCGATGATGCATATTTTTAGCCCCTGTTTGTTTCATAGGTTCGAACTAAATCTTTTTGCTACAGTTTACAAAATTTAATTTTCAAAATTATGAACCAAATGGGCTATTTGTCTATCTAGGCTGTTTCTTTGTGAAGGTCAACGTCTGATAACTTTTTATCAATTTCAGTTGAGGACTTCTTTGCGGATTCTGTTCCCGGGCTGCCATGCTCTCAATCAGACGAGGAAAAGAGCTAAGGCAAATGATGCTCCTTTTCACTTTAATGTTATACGTAGGAAGAAGTTTAGATCCCTTCAATAAGAATTTGCTATTAGTTAGCCGTAATTTCTTTGAACTTAGTTTTTTTTCTTCTAATCCTCAAAAAACTTCATCATTTGAGAACTTGAGGATCATAACTAGTTTTGTATTTGGGCATGTTGTCAACATTGCCAACTAGGTATTCCCTGAATTTATTTCTCGAAAGTCAGAATAGATCAATGTCACTTCTTTGAATCTTAGTTTGATTAACCAAACTCAGGGAAAGAAATAAACAACTTGTTCTTGAGTGTAAAACAACATCATACGATGGTGTTTCAACTATGATAGTGACAAAAAAAACTCGTCAAGTGGCAGTTGATACAACTTCATATGATGAATCTTGCTATGCTCGTTGCCATCTCAAAGTGTTTTTATTTTATTTTTTTTTTATGCATATACACACATATGTGATGGAAGTCTATGAAAGTGATATTGATGTACTGTTTGGATTGTTATCCTTATTTTACAGATGACTTTGGAAAATCTATCTCGCTTCTATAGTTTTGCATCCTTTTACAGCTTACTAGAATTGTGCCACTCTTAAGTTAACATATAAAAGGAAGGGCATAAATCTTACCTTATTGTCTTTAAAAGACACTTCTCGAGAACCAAAATACCACTCAACATAGTACTAACGTTTATGCTATTAGTAAAAAAAACATGTGAATTAAAAAAATAATCTTGAGTGGTACAAACTTATATTTTGAGTTGGTAATAAATGTTGAGTGGTACAAACTTATATTTTGAGTTGGTAAAAAAAGAGAAAAAAAAAAAAAAAAAAAAAAAAAAAAAAAAAAAAATTAGTTTGTGTAATTTTCTCCAAGATTTTTCTATTTTGTTTTTACCCTTTCTTAAGATTTATCTCACTTCTCAATTAGGTTTTTGGTTGATATATTAGGCTTTTTTCCCCTTTGTCTACGAGGAGAAATGTGACTGCCTATTTCTCAACTTCAATTTGAAATCAGGTTACAGAATCACATCAAAAAGTAAATACGACTATTGTGTTTTTGCCTACTTGGTTGATATATAATTTGAGACTATTAAATATGAATGTTTACCTCATTTTGTTCTTGTTAGAAGTTGGTTGGGTTAATCAACACGCCACTGTGAAAGATTTGGCATGAGGAAATAGAATAAGTTGGCATTGAGCACTACAAATTTCCAAATTTCCAAATCTAAAATACAAATTCAACGCCAAAATACATGCAAAACTAAAGGGGAAGAAAATTCAAAGCTTTTCCCATCCCGATATGAGAAAATTTTAATTCAATCCAAACTTTGATCATTTCTAATTTCCAAGTGTCTATTATTTTATTTGATAACATCAGTCTTAATAGTACATATTGTACGTTTAATATGAATGATATATCTTTGACCCGAAAGGTATGAATTCTCTTGGAAAATGTCAACAGTGTTATATGGGCCAACAATCATACTAATTTTAATTTATTTTGTATTTTTTTTTTCAAAAAGCTTTAGCTTTGTTGACCTGAAAAAGAAGACCAAATATAAAATTAATTAAAGACTACATATATAATTAATTAAACGTAAAGGTGGGTCTTGAACTTTTACTATTGACTAAGGACTTGTTCTTTTAGAGTGTGATTTAAGTATAGTTTTTAAGTTGAATTTGAGTTATAACTTGAGTTAAAGTTGTAACTTGAGTTTGTGTTTGGTTGTGTACATTTGAGTTATGGTTTGAGATAAGAATCTTTTTGAGTTTGTGTTTGAGTGAGTCAAAATTTGAATTTGTATTTAGATAGTATTTTAATAAAAACTCAATGGTGATGAAAAATTTTAATAGGGTATATGGGTGGGATTTTATTCGTTTTTTCATTGTCAATGCATAGAAAAAAAATTATCTCAATCAGGATTAAAATGAAAAAGTTAGAGCATTTTTAAGAATAGAAAAAATACTGTTCATTAATTTGAGTTCGAGTTTCTGAACTCAAGTTGAAGAGGAAACTTGAACTCTAGTTTTAGTCCCAAACTCGAGTTTAAACTTGAGTTGAAACTTAAAAGAACATAAACTTAAATAAAATTGAAACTCAAATTGTCTTTTTTTGAGTTTTTAAGGCTGCCGAACACACCCTAAAATATGCACCCGTCGTAATCGATTTCCTTTTCACATACAGAGAAGATCAGGGAACATATTACTAGGGATGAAATTTTACTTGGTTTGGTTTGAGATTTAAAAATTTTGGTCCAAAGCGTCAGACCGTAAATTCATATTACAATAATGATAATTTCACGAGTTTTGTTTTGTAATTGTATTATTAGCATTGTTAGCCATGAATCATAGGCATATTGTGTAACTTTGTCTCTTGAACTCTCTTAGTTTTGTTCTTTGGCAGGTTTAGTTCCTCACACTAAAATTAATGTGGACGTTCACAAATCTTGTCGGTAGGTAAAATAGCAGTCTTACCCTAAGAGTTATTATTTTCTTTTTAAAGTTTCTCTTGTATGGCTTCCTACTTTGTATGAGTCAGTTTTTGACTGTTGAATCTTATCAAAATTACACCAGATTAAAAAAATATACAAAACAACAGTTTTTAATATAGATCTAATGACTGAAAGTAAATATATAGTGACAATTCATTTTTTATGATTGTACCATAAATGTTGGTCTTTAATCCTTATTTCACATTCCAAGAATCATCACACCAAATTACTAAGAAAATAGGTTAGAACAAATACTCGTCTCTATTGGTGCAGCCTTAATCTCCAGTAGAAATCTCTAAGACAACAAGTTATCTTCCTTAGTCAAATCACCAGTTCTTGAATGACGTGTTCTCTCTCTAGATGAAGAAGAGGGAAAACGGCCGAATGATTTGATGTATTAGGGACTATAACCTAAGTTTCTTTATATACTGTCCCATTAGGCTCCCATTAAATCTAATTGAGTCAATATTGGGTATCCACCCATTTAGCCCATACCCAGTTAGAAGACTATTTGGGCTCTACATAATTAGACCACTTAATTAACCAAATTAATTAAATAGCGTCAATATAATTGTTATAAATATGTGGCCCACAATTATTATTAGGAAACGTAATTTCCTAACAATCTCCCACTTGGGCTACATATTGGTTACCGAATCAAATTCGGATGCGGAAGCGTGAGAGTTAGCGAATCGTGTATAATAAAAATTTTCATAAAATCTTTGAGATACCCTATAGATTATATTAATTTATGCACGAATAAATTAATCACATTAATTTATTAATTAAGAACTCGAATAAGAATTATACCTAACGACCGATTAGGATGATAACTTGAGTTCTTTGACCTCGAACAATCCGCGCTCCAATGCTTTGTTTAGAAAACCCGAGCCTTCCTTGTCAATTCCTTAAATCTACGAAGTCGTGTGTGTGGGCACACCTGAAACAAAACGGGTTAACAAAAACACTCAAGAATTTCCATGAACACCAACGCATGCACGACGTGGAATGTTTGGAGAAAATTTTTTCCTCTCACAACACTTGGAAGAATTCGGCCACCCTCTAAAATTAGGAGCAAAAATTGTGTCGAGAATTGTTTCTAAAAATTGTGAGACTTTTAGAAGAAGTCTCATCTTTATCTCCAAGATAAAACTTATCAATTATCTCCCATTTAAATTTGAAACAAATTCTCCCTTTCTTTATCCACTAATGGCCGGCCATAGATAGGGGGTTTTATCCCTGTGTAGGCGCCAATATCAGATAGGAAAGGAAGAGAAAATCATTTTTTATCCTGTGGTCTTAAGTCAAACTTAAATTAATTTAAATTTTAAATTGAACAACTTATCAAATAAGTTTGAATGGATAATTTTAGATGTGTTCATACTATGTGTTCACACTGCGCATTGCGTTCACAATATGTGAACACTTTCACATAAGTGATTCAAAATTCAAATTTAAATTTAAATAATCACATTATTTAAATAATAATTAATTCTTCATTAAGTATCCTTGAGTGTTTAATTTTAGAATTCTGTAATTCTAAAATTCTCAGTTTGCCCTTAAGTGTCTTGTAGAATTACAAGGACAACGCGATGACTCATGGACCTATAATTTTGAGCTCCAATAAAATTAATAAATAATTAAACACTTTAATTAATTAATTAATCTTATTAATTCCAATAGCTACTCAACTATAAACTTGAAATTACACTCTCGTAATTATAGATATAAATTACTTCTAAATCGTGAAGTGTCCATGTGATGTAGTCACTGCATATAGATCAATCATCCATAAATAAGTCATAATTATAGCTAGGTAAAATCTGTTAACCTCTCTAATTACATCTTTATCCTTGAGTACCATTGATTCTCTAATGGACAGTGATTCATAAAACACATTCATGAATCGGAGCTCCTACTGGTCCAAGTACCGAATCAACCCTCAAGAGAATTATTTATCTACCTCTTTCTCAAGAAGGAATGGATTTCATCTTGTATAATAACATTCCTGGCTACCTACTTCATCATGTCTCCAAAATACAAGGAATAGGATTTAGGATCTCAGAATCCGTACCAAGTAAATCAAGACACAAATCCATAAATATGAGTCTGCTAAGAACTCAGGATTAAGATCATTCTATATATAACCATCGGTAGACTCAATTAGAATTCTATACTTAACGAAAATTATCATAAATTTATATTGTGTCTGTATCCTTGTTCCACATAATCTCATTTAGTGCTGGAAGTTCAGGTCGGCGAGCTGCCCGAAGCTCGAATTTTTTCGGGATCGGGCGGGCAAGCCCATTTCCTGCCCGCCCAAAGTTGATTTTCAGATTCGGACTCGGGCAGCCCGAATTTTGCATTTTCTCTTCTGCCTGCCGTCGTCTAATCACCGTTTACCGCCGTCTGCCGGAATTTTTTTGAATTTTTCCGACCATGCCCGACCCGAAAAATGCCCGAAAAATGCCCGAACCCGACTGCCTGAAAACTACCCGAATGCACGTAACGGCTACTTTTTTTGAATTTTGCCCGAATTCTACCCGAAAACCCGAGGTGCCCGAACTGCCCGAACTGCCCGACTGCCTAAATTACCTGAAAACGGCTAGTTTTTTTAAATTTTTGCCCGAATTCTACCCGAAAACCCGACCTGCCCGAGGTGCCCGATTGCCCGAATTACCCGAAACAGCTAGTTTTTTGAATTTTGCCCGAAAACCTGAACTGCCCGAGTGCCCAAAAATAAAAAATAGTCGTTTATCCCGATTTTTTTTTGAAAAAAAAAATTATTTTTTAACCCAAAAATTTCCCTATAAATACCCCCCATCCCCCACACATTTTTCTCACTCAAACTCTCTCAATCCCTCTCAATTTCTCTCAATCTCTCTCATTCTCTCTCAATTTCTCTCAATCTCTCTCAATCTCTCTCATAATTTTTCTAAAAACTATCACATTAACCTAAAGCTCTCTCTCTCTCAAATCCATCTTATTTTTTTATAATGGATCCTTTTGGTTATAGTGGTATTCCCGTTAATGCCCAACAC